AAAGAAAGTTGCCGCCGCAGTTGCAGCTATTACAGGCGGATGTGGATGCGACGAGGCGCAAACTCGCTCTCGCTCGCTTTCCAGTGGTAACACCTTCTTGATGAGAGAACCAGAACTTTGTTATTCTTCCCGCAGGCGAAGTTTGCTCGGAGAATTTTAAGATGAGCATCGCAGCCCGGCTAGGTTGGTGTGCCAACAAGCGCGATTATCAGTGCATAAAATTATTGTTCCATTGTTCAAGCGTTGGCTCACAAGTGAGGGTTGTTATTATAACCTGCGGGTGCCAGGCTTTCTACCAACAATGCGGCTGCGATAAATGTTTCAATATTCAGCTCCACTCGAGAATCCCGAAATAGTGAGACTTACGCTTTCTCTTAAATTAAAATGCTTGCAGTTTTGTTTAAAATCTAAAGGTAAGGGTAAAAATTAATTGTAAAATCATGGGAAAATTTCATGATTTTATTTATTGTTGGATTTTTGTGATTTGTGGAAGTATCTCATGATGGAATATTGACTTAAAAAAAAACGTGCAAATTCTTATTTTTATTATTAATATATATAATAAATTTTACTTTATTTCCTAATATTTATAATGGTTAAATTATGATAAAATAATTTTTTTTATATAAATTTTTAATTCAATAATAAAAATTTAAATTTATTCTATAAACAAATTATTCTCCTGTTTTATAATATTTTGGTTGCATACAAATTTAATTTTTTGTTAATATAATTTTATTTTTTATCCTCATACATAAATACTGTCAACTTGATGAGATAATTCTATAGTTGGGTATTCGCCAAAACTAGGAATTATGTTTTTTTATTCTCGTTTCAGATTAAGTATTAAAGTTGAACTAATGCGTGTTAATTTCAAGTGTGAAAATAAATTTGTATTGCCTCTATACCGGATGCTTATGAAGGGCTGAATGTTGAAAGTGGGTAAAAGTCCACGTTTTTTTCCTTCTTATATGCTCGTAGCTTTTGATTATTAGCAAAGTGAAAGTAATAAATTGTTGCTTCTTTTGCATTGACATCTTGTGAATTGGAAGCTATCTAGAAAAAAATAGCTCCAACTTTGCTAAATATAAAAAGACACAATTCGTTTGAGGAAATTGACACTCGAGGAGATGATAATTGAAGTGAATTACTCGGTTTTTTTCAGTTTTTTCTTGTTGTAAAAAACTTTTTTTTTTTATTAAAAAAAAACGGCTGTGGTTTTTCAATTTGCTGATTTATTTTGCATTTTTCTTGCTCATAGAATAGGGTCGTAGACCGTGACGGAAACTGATAGAGCTGTCTTATTTTTTAATAAAAAAATTTTGCACCCAGGATAAAAAACCTGAGGACCTTACTCTGGCACCGTGTAAGCTATGGAGCGAAAAGAAACTATTTTCATACTTGTAATATGAATATGACCTTTTGACCATTTTAATCTCTTTTTCCTGATTTTGAAATGAGATTGAGTTACAAAACAATAGTGACAAAAGAAGTTGTCTTCTGCGCAACACTTGAATAAATAATAAATTAATTCCCTTTATTTCTCTATATGAGACAAATTTCTTTATCTGCATTTCTCTACGCTTGTTTTTCTTTTGCATCTGAAGAGGCCTGTTATTTCCATCGTATATCAATACGAACGTACATCAAATAATCTGTTTGCCAGCGAAAGCACTCAAATTTTTTTCCTCTGAAGCGTGTGCTGGAAGTACCAACAGGAATATTTGCTGGCTGTGTTGCGAGTTCAATTGCACGGCAAACAAACTGCGATATAACTCCATAAAGTGAGCAGGCGTATCATTTTTATTGCAGGAGCGAGCGAGTGTGTCGGCGTATTGAAGCAGGCCAGATCACCTGCATGTGCGCCAGAATAAAATTGTAGAGAGAAACTCCTCAAGATACAACAGCGGGGATAATAAATTTGAACGCGAAAGCGGAAAACGACTTCGGCGACGCAATATAAGAGCGAGTTGGAAAAAGCTTACATGTATGAAAATCAATTTCCCTGCCGGTATGTTATGATTTCGCAGCGAAGAGCCCCTTTCTCTCGTCGCTTTATTCCTCCAAAAATAGCAATAATAAATCAACTGGAGAATACCAGTTGTGGCTTCTTTAAAAAAAAAAAAATAAAAAAGTGACGTCAAAGTAAATATAAAGTAGCTTTATGAGGCCCTGCTCGTCTTTATTTTTTCTTCTCGTCGGTAGGCAAAATTCCTCTCTTTTTCCTCTGTCAAGTGCGTGCGTGCGTTCCGAGAGAACAAACACAGGCAATATCATGCCCCTACGCGCATAGGCAGCCCGTCCGCCTGACTGATGGAATAATGCGTCCGGGCAATGTTACAATAAGGAGGTTAAATAAACTCGGCGTGATGCAGCAGAAGCACAAACATTCCGCCCGTTTTCCGAGGAGCATTCCGGGTGAAATTCGCCTCATCCTTCTCTCGCTCGCTATATTTATACACTCGCAGGATTTTTTCCATTTTTTATACACACACAGTAGCAGCCTTTTTAGCCTTTTCTCGCTGAGTAATGCTGGAAACGTGAGCACTTATCTCGCAACAACTGCGCCGCCGCTCCATTTCCAGAATTGTGTGACGAAAAATGTTTTGTATTTTTGTAGAGAGACGCAATCGACAATTTCGAACTGATGAATAAGTCGCCTTGAGAATTACAAGCGTCTCGTTTGTCTTTTCTGGGAAAAGTCCTTATTGATTTTGTATCGTTTGAAGGGAAGAGAATTTTCGCAAAGATGCATTGTTCTCCAAACACATAAAGAAAAAATCGTTTCTTACCCTTGACTGACTTTGTACAAAAGCTATTGTGAGAATACAAATGTTCAAGGTTCAAGATTCTGAATTTTTGAATTAAAATGGATGTTCTGCTTCAAGGAATGAAACAATCAAAACAATCTTAAGAATAAAATTCAAGGAAGTGAAAGAAAAAGTAATTCTGATTCAATCAGACTGATTTTCATTGGAAAGATTTGTGATGTGAAAAAGGTTTGCAAGATGCCAAAATAAATGTGGTAAAATTTGAATTTTCAAAACTTATTTTAAGGTGATTCAAAAGTTAAAAGCTTAATGTGACCACAGTTAAAAACTGCAAGTTATCTCAATGGCCAAGTTTACTTGATCTTTTATACTCCAGCACTGTTCCAAGCCAAACCCATGGAGTTCCTAGGTCAATTTGTCCTCAATTTTGTCACCTAGAGAACATTTTCTCCGCTGAGTGAAGGTTTTAGAAACGCCCTCAATACTTATTTATAATTATTTGAGATAATTTTTCACAAATTTTATTCCTGCTAGGAACAATAAATTTTGACAAGGAAACATTTAATGAAGAAGAATTATTTAATTTTTATCACACTTAAAATGATTATTATTTAATTTATAGTGATCAAAATTCGTATTTTGTTTTTTCAATAACAATGTGCGTTTTTCGTTGGTTTAAATTGACAAGGGACTTGTAAAAAATAACAAAACAGCTAAAAGCTCATAATCTCTAGCTTACAAAAAATCACCTTAGCCAATAAAAAAACTTTCTTTATCCGTGGTTCCTTCTCTGAACAAAAAATGCAGCTCAGTTTATTGATGGGCAGCCCCTTTGAAAATATCAGTTAGGCCTTCATAAATCATGGTGTCAAAGCTTGTATAGGGTCGCTGTCATAATAATGGAATCCAAATGATGGACCTCTCTTTCACGTCAGCACCAGGTATGAGCGCGTCGAAGAAAATCTTTTCATATTCCTATCACACCTCCCTTTCCCACAAAAATTGGGACGCGTATATTTGCGAGCCTTTTAAAAACGGACAAAGGAAGCGAGGATTGTTTAATTTTCACGCGATGACGCTTTTTCAATGGGAAATCCATCAAAGCGGGGCACCGGTGTTGGCAAATTTTTAATTTCGCACGGTCTGTCTTCGCACCGAATTACACCGTGGAATTGATGCTAATTTGAAATCCGAGCCTTGTAGAGCGCGCGGTAGGCGGCTAATTGGAAATGTGTGTTCAGCAGCTGGGTCGGACACAGTGTTCGTTTGCGGGAGTTAAATGACAGTAGTGTAAGCCCAGAAGTATTATTTTCGGGCGGAGAACAAGCCGTGCGGACGATGTGCACGACTCTGCTCGAATCACACTCTCATTAATCTCCGCGCCGCGGCAAAATCAATGCGGCTGCTTTTGGCTGCGCGTCGGCGGCGGAAAAAAATAGAGCAGCCGAGAGAGAGGCGAGGGAGAGAGACGGGCGAAAAATAATGCTCTCTGCCCTCGGCCAGCGGTGCACAATCAGTTTTTGCTCCGGTGGTCAGCGCCGGCTAGTCAGCGAAAATGGCCTTGTGCAATTCTAATTCGCAGTGGGGGGTATTAATCATATATTATATTCATTTGAAAGTTTTGATTTCATATTTTTTTAAAGAAAATCTATTTATTATTCAAATGAAAAAATGAAAGTGCGTCGACATACAAAAGTGTACAATTTAACTTTTTGCAAATCATTATAATATTGCATCTGGAACTTTCAATGGACAAAATATATAATCTGAAAATTTTTTTTTCATAAAAACGTTAAAATTTTAAGAACATCAGATAATTTCAAAATATAATTTTAAATTTAAAAAATTAAAAATGAAAAAGATAAATAAAATTTTTATTAATGTTTTACAAGAATAAAGTGTGTTTAATGAAACTAATTATTATATAAAGTAAAAACTAATATTTTTTTAAAGGTTTAACAATAAATGTGTCAAATTTTTTTTAAGATTTCTTTTAGATTAAAATATAACTTTTATAGTAAGTAATTTTCAAAGAGATTTATTTTAAAGTACAAAATTTTGACTCATTTTTTTACTTTGTGAATTATTATACTTATACTTGGTTATACATTTCATACATTTGCAACTACATGTTTTTTTTCAGTTAATTTATATATAATATATATTATATGTTCATATGAATGTAATTTAATTTCAATAGTGAATAATTTTCTGTTGTTCTGTTCACAGCGTTGACGCTCGCGGCGGAACCCTGGAGTCTGGACCGCACTGGGCGATGTCCAGTGCTTTCGGCTTAAGGACCTTTTTCATGAGTGGCACGAACGGCGCCGGAAAACTGCGAATCAAAAAAGTTGAGGCCGAGGACCAGGGAGTGTACAGATGCCGAGTCGACTTCCTCAACTCTCGGACCAAAAACTTCCGAGTCAATCTCACCATAGTCGGTACGTGGAGAACCACCAATAAGCGGTTCGACTCGCAAGAAAAATATATCAAACGCATACTTTAGCAATTTGTTTGTGAGAGTTTCCTATGTGGCCTTGAGTTTGCTGTGGGAAAAACTGGCTCGGAAAAGTAGCTCTCATGCATTTTTCATAATACACTGGAGCAAACTCCGTTATATGCAATTGTATTGGAACATTTTCATAAATATTAATCTGTCCACTACTTTCAGTTCCACCCGACACTCCGCAGATTTACAACGCCCAAGGGGAAGAGGTAGTGAGTGAGGCAGGTCCGTTCCTAGAAGGATATGACCTATATCTGTCGTGCCATGTGACGGGAGGTAACATGAAAAAATATATTATTTGAGACATTTGAAGTGCTTCATTCGTCTGTCCAGATCAATAAGGAAAAATGTAGTTAGTTTCCACTCAATCCATCGAGTTAAATGGATTTACAAATTGCAATTTGAACAAAATAATTTAAATTATTAGAAGAATTTTTTGGTGATATTTTGTTATAATTCTTTTTCAGATTCATTTTAGCTGATCTAAATTTTATTTTACTTATTTCTTTTTACTGAAAGTGCTTTTTAATACAATCATTTTTGTCAAAAATATGCATTAACATAATATCTATTTATCAAATTTCATACTCAAAATTGGCAAATAAAATTAGTACCTATTTATCTTCTCTAGTTAATTAATTTAACATTTGAAGAATTGTTATTTAGCATAATCTATTTTTTTATTACATTAATTTGGGGGGGGGGACGTTTTAGCTTAGAAAAATCCAATTGTTTCACAAGATTTCCTTCCAATCTTCGCGACTTCGAAAGTCAATATATTATAGGCTAAAACTTTGCGCTCAACTTTCAGGCCAGCCCAAGTCGAGTGTCTCTTGGTGGATGGGGAACCAGCTGCTCGACGCAACGCACGACGCCGAATCGACCAACTCGAACGTGTCAATCAACCAGCTGTTCCTGCCGAGCGTCGGTCGTTCTTTGTGGGGCCAACGCATGGCCTGTCACGCCCGAAACTCAAATATGACGTCCTCGGTGGTGAAGGAAGTGGCCCTGCTCATTTACTGTGAGTATATAAAGCGTCGCAAACTCGATCTATCCACCGCTTGCCTGATCAAATATTAGACTTCGGGGTAGCGAACGAGGGAACTTTCCCGTCGGTAAAATCGCTCCGCAGAGGCCAATCGTTTGTTTTAATTAGCGGGCTGTCAGACTCAGCTGCCTTGAGATTTCAAGAGACTCTTTAGAACTCGTTTAACCCTTTTCATGCGGGAATTTAATCATGGGTTTTTTATGAAACGGGAAAAACAGATGCCAACATGAACATGTTTTTTGTTAAATGAGACAAGATCTGGGAATTTTTTTCTAAAAAAATACTTAGTAAGATAGTAATTTATTTTCAGGTTATTTTCAGTAATAATATTAATAATCACAATTTAAAGACCACAAGATTTCATGAGTGAAAATGATATATTTGCCAATTTGAAACAAACGTTATCCCACTATAACTATTTTAATGATTTAATCTTAATGCTAAATCTGTAAATTAAAACTAATTAAGCGTGTTCTAGATATTTGATAATTAGGTAAACCTTTTAGGAGTTATAATTATTCAATTTTCAAAATTTTTCTATTTCAATATTAAAGTTTTGCGTCCGTCTCTGGTGAAATCCAACTTTATTGTTGCATTTCAACATCAGCAGATAAAATTATTATTTAAAAAACTTGCAATCTTTCTTGGGCTACAAATCTGAAATAAAGCAAGACACCGGGCGTATAACAATAATTTTTCATCTTCTTCTCATAAACCGTTTGCTCGGGCGGCGATGAAAAATTGCCAGCTCGCTATGAAGCCAGTTTTTATTACCAACGTAGCTGAATAAAGAAAGAAAGAATAATCCGTTTACAATCTCAAGCAAGGAAACAGTAAAGTTTGCGGGTCATTTGTTTATTTGTCTGTCGTAACGGACAGGTCGGACAGGTCCTTGCAGACAGCTTGCAGGGCGGGTCTAGATTGATTGTATCCACAGATGGCATCCCGTTTGCTCTGCCCGTTCTATCAATCTCGCGCCGAATTCCGCAAACAAATAGACTCTGCGAGGGGGAGAGAAAGCGAGAGAGAGATTCACACTTTGTGAAATTGCTCGTGGCACTTTTTACGCCGAGCAATTTTCTGCATGATAATTTCGGGAAATGACTTCAGAAGGCAGTCTGAAGAGAGTGTTTAAATACCTGGAATTTCTGGTAATTAAATGGGAGCTTTTTGCACCACTTGTGCGCGTGGGAAAGACCGCGGTGGCGTTTTCGGGCTTATGATTAATGCGGGCGGCGGTAAGACACGGCATTAAAAGTAACTACCCCCCATAAAAAGTCATCTCGCGTTAAGCCCCGCGGCGGCATTTCCATATTTCTTTTGCCGGTCTCATCATGCCGCTCGGCTGCGTCGCCAGATAGATACACGAGCGAAGCAGGCATTTTCAAATGCATACTAATGCCACGACTTGTTTACTATGCAACCGGCTCGTCCACGTCGTCGAGCGGGCTGCCTAAGTGGCACTTCCTCCGAGTCCCTCAATTTTCTCGCCGCCGGATTTCTGCACGTCGAGAAGAAGAAAGTTGCGGTGAGGGAAAGAGCCTTCCTTTCGCTGATGTGTAAATTTCGCGATGAGAAAAGCAACTTTGAATGCTTTCACTGTCGGAATGTAAATTTCGGAACAAAAATAGACGACTACTCTTGCTTGTGCCGACAAAAGGAGAGGACGAATTGCCCTCTTAAGTTAGAGAGGACTGGGAATTTGATTTGGCTAACAAGAGTGTGTCTCAAGTGGCGAGACACAAAAAGGCCATTGTTAAAGGGGGTCGGAAAGCAAAGCCATTATAATTCTTGCCACCGCCAACTCATATTATTTAGAATGGTGTAATAAATGTTTTTTTTTTTTTTAAATTTAATTTAAGTCAAAATTTATTAAGACTATCGAGTTTTGCAAAAGTGTCATCTAGATTCAAAATAATATGCGATACTAAAATTGGCATTTTTTTTAAATATAAACAAACAGTTATAAAAAATTTATAAATATATTTAGTTTGTTATTATTTCTGTTTGATAAATTACCTAATTTATCTAATTTTTTCTTTAAATATTTAGCTTTTGCATTTTTTAATATTTTCTACTTTTAAATGTTGCCAAAGTTTAAAATGTAATTATACAAATTAAAAACTTTTAGCATATGATTTTCTTTAATTCTTTACGATATTATATTTACTACCTGTTGTAAGTTACATGATAATTGTTGTGTCTGTATGTAAAGTATAATTCTTTAGATCGAACCAGGGAGTTGCTTGACTTCAATCAAAAATTGAAAGGAATTTTTCGGATATAAAAAAAATATTTATTGACATTCGATGATGATTTTATATTTCGCTTTACCACTTCAATATTACTGATTATTACACGTTTTACTGCTAAAATTATAGAAAAATGATGTATTCTTAGGTTATTTTTTGCAATGAGGAAATCCTCTCAAGTCAAGTGGAAATTTGCCCCTTGTTAAAATTCCACTCGCGCGAGTGAAGTGAGCACCGGCACTCGTACAAATGATAGAAGATATTTAAGCAGATAGAGATGAAAGCATGCAAAATTTATACGCCCCGCATAGCAGTTGCCACTTTTCGCAGGCAACTTTTAATCCATTATGCATCACAAGTGGAAGGGCGCAGCCTGCCGGTTATTGTGATGACCTTATTTTGAATCATTGCCGAGTTATAATTCCGCTGATATTCCCTCTCGGGCCTTCAAAGTGGGCGGAAACTTTTACACCGGCCACGCACTGCGGCCGGAAAATTCACTGGCAATTTTAGCAGAGAGGAATTTAGTGAAGCGCAACGGCGGTTTACCCGCAAAACACACGTTCTCGCCACGACTTTTTTTTACATGTACATGCAAAAGCGCGAGAGCTGTGTGTGTACTTTTTATTCTTTGTGTCAACAGCTTGTTTAAAAACTACACGAGCTAAATAATAAATCCCCACGGTCTGTGTTTGCCTTAGGAGAGAAGCCTAAATAATTAAAAAAGAGAGAGAGAGATGTGGGTGTGGCATTGATTTTGCTTCTCATAAAATATTTGTAGACGTGTATTAAACAGCCTTTCACGTTTTTAAATATTGTTTTCTCATTTTTAGTATTTTTTTTCAATGTTAAATTTTCAAAAAATAGCTAGATGTAATTTATTTATTTATTCTTTTGCAATTTAAATGAAATTTTAAATTTCTTATAAAACACTCTTTTTTGAAAATCTATACCTGAATTTGAATGAAAACTTTAAAATTGCAAAAAAAAAATCAAATTAATCATTTAACTGCTATATTTTGTTCTAAAAAAAGGCTGAGAAATTTAACAAAAGGCTCAATTATAGTCCATACGTCACATCAAAGCCTTTTTTTAATAAAATAAAATGAGTCGTTTTTAGTTTACAGTCTCTCATATTTAGAATCAGAACTGATACAATTCTATTGTCAGAATGAATTTTAGAAAAAAAAATTAATAAAATCATATTAGCCTTCTTTAAATTAAAAAAACTTTTAAAGTGCATTAAAAAAATGAAGTTATTTAAGTTTAATTATTAAAAAAAATTTAAAGATTTACATGACAAAAAGCATTTCCGCATCTATGATTAAGGCAAAAGCTAAAATGGCTTCACACCAGCGATAAATCTGAAGCGAGCTCGCATTCCAGCCGCTTTTATCGGCGCGATGCACCACTTTGGTACCTTCTGTTTGCAATCAATAAAATTAATGTGCCTCTCGCATGGTCCGTCGGCGTTTGTTGCACATATTATTCCGCTCGCACATGCCTCACCGATTCGGAAGCATTTTCGCACCAGATAAAAGAAGTGGACGCTAAAACACGCCATAAAGCGCCACCATTTAATAACGCACATTATTGCATCGCGTCGGTCTCTCTTTATATATCATTTCGCTCGAGAGAAGAAACGACCAACTTTTTTGCCACCAGATGATAAATTCGTTCCACATTACTTCTGGCGAAGAGTGTGTAATTGAAATTACACGCAGTAATGGCCGCCCGCATTTATACTGCCGCTTTTTTCAAAATTAATGCGGTTCTCGAAAAATACTCCTTTTTTCAAGCAAGCAAAAAACAAAACAAAAAAAGAATCCGCCATTTGGAACGAGTAACGGCTGGCGTTAGAAGAAGAACTTTTGGATCTGCGTTTATTTCAGCTAATTAAGGGTTTAATGGCATGTGTGAGAAACGAGGGGCCAAAGGGTGGAGAGGCCAAAAAAGGCTCTCGCCGAAAAGCATCTGACGCAATCGCTCGCCCTCTTCCCGGCGGCTATTTTTTATTATTCACCACTCAAATAAGGGTGCAGGCGAAACTGGCGATGGCCGAACTGGAATAAAAAACAAACGCAAATTTCCCCAGCGACCTTCATACCTGCCCGTGTTTGTTTTCGGCGCGCGAACAACTTTTGCCACTTTTTGCGAAACTGGAGCGGCGGCGTGCCGGTGTCAGTTGAGTAAACTTTTAAATTAATATTAGCAAGGCGGGCCATGACACGCACTCGACATTTCGTCATAAATAACTTTGGCGAACGTCGCAAGCAAAAAGCTGCATGCGAAGATCTCGCTCATCCGTTTGTCGCTGGAGCTCAATTTTCGTTGGCAAGACAGGTGACAACGTTCGGTAACCAGCAGGGTTCCGCGTGACAACGACACGCTGTGCTATTGCGAAATCGAAAAGTACCAAGCGAGTGCAAAGCTCCCTTTGCAATTTTACACACTTGAATAGGAATGAAAATATTCTTTACATACACACATGCAATTGATTGGTTTGCGGCTCTTCTTGGCATAGAAGTTATTTTGATTTTGAGTCACAACAATTATGGAATTGAAGGTGATGCAATTTATATTTAAATTGTTATTTTTTTTTAATTATTATGTCCTCTCCATTGCCTTTATTTGCCAAGAATAGACACAGTAATAATATGTTGAATAAATTTAAAAATAATAAATGAAATTCAAAAATTTAAGGAAAACATAAAATTAGTT